ATGGCAAATGATAAGATTTCCTTCCTTTTTAAAGGCTAAATGATATTCTATGGTCCCGTACTGGGGATATAACCCAGGAACTCAAGCATGCTAGGTAAGCACTCTACCACTGAACTACATTTCAGCACATCCACATTTTCTCTGTGCAGAACTGAATCCTATCTTTTGTCAATAATGTTAAATACCTGTTTCGAGCCTGGAGCTAAAGACACTTAGAGATTTCAGATAAATCCAGGATATATTTAGTCCTATTTCTTTTGAATTGATTTCTGCTGGATCTGATATCATTATTGGTGTATCCATTAAATCAGGGATCCATTGGAGAAGCAGAATCATAGGTAGATTGATAGATAGATAGATAACATAAAATTACATATACATTTGGAATTGACCTTGACCTTGTGGAAGCCCTATGCAAGACTGTTCTCTTCACATTTAATTCTGAAACTTGAAATTCAAGGGAAGATAGTGGAAAAGAAAAGATGGATGCAAAGCAAAGGGATGAAGGAATGTGCTAGAATACATTAACATGAATTGGTTCAATTGAGAATGTGCTGAAGCCCAGATCAATTCTTTTCTTTCTTTTTTTTTGTGGCGGGTGGGGTGGGGAGAGGATAATGGGGATAGAACCCAAGACACTTTATCATTAAGCTACATCCCAGCCCTTTTTATTTTTATTTTGAGACAACATCTCACTAAGTTTCTGAGTCTAGCTTCAAACTTGCAATCCTCCTGCCCCAGCCTCCAGAATCACTAGGATTACAAATGTGCACCACCATGCACGGCAATCTACATCAGTTCTTATCATTTTCGACCTTAGTCTGGGGAACCTGTAGAAGCCAGGACTCTTCACATAGTGCTGAACATATAATGCTTCTGTGAGCTTGGGAAGTTGAAGGAGGATGGAAGAGGGCAGAGCAGTTGCAGCCACTGCAGAGACCTGTAGTCACCGCATCAACAATGTGTGTGAGCTACAGAATCTTGACGCTGGCCTCAGGGTGCATTTTGAAGTCTGTGTTCTTACAATGACTATATGGAAAAAAAAGAGGCAGAGCATATGTGCCCCAGCCTGGGATCTGTGCCTGGTCTGTAATGTGAATGGAGACACATGGGGGAAAGTCCTGCGGCTTCCTGTCCGCTCTCCAAACCTCACATTAGAGGCTCTTTGTGGCACACCCAGGAATAGAGTTGAGTCTAGCCAAGCTGGCACATCACAGAGCTGCACACTTAAGTTACAGAGAACAGCAAGACCTGTTCCAAATAATGAATGGTCCAAATGTATCATTAACCTTGCAAGCTAATTTTTCTTTTTCCAAAAAGAAGGGCTATAGGTCACCAGTTCAGTCCCTTAAGGATTGAACCTAGGGGTGCTTAACCACTGACCCACATCCTCAAACTTTTTTTTTTTAAATGGGGTCTCGCTAAGTTGCTTAGGGCCTCACTAAGATGCTGAGCTGAGGTTGGCCTTGAACTTGCCATCCTCCTACCCCAGCCTCCTGAGTTGCTGGGATTATAGGAGTATGCTACCATGCCTGGCCAAAAGTAGCTGCTATTTAGTGGTGCTCCTTATGCACCAGGTATAATCCTAAGCATCTAATACGTAGTGACTTCTTTCCGGGCCTTTTTGCCTCACTCTTGCCCCTCTGCAATCCGTCCTCCACATGGTGGCTTAACACACCCATCACACCATGCAGCTCCACTGCCTCCATCTTCCAACGTCTCTCCTTCTGCACAGTGAAATCTGGGTCCCTGAGCCTGGCACCATGAGCTCTGTCCCCTGCCTTCTTCTCCACCATTCCTACTGCTCCTTCCGGCTGTCTCTTCAAACCTGAGGCTTATTGTTCACGTTCCTCGATGATCTTTCTTTCCATCCTTCAGATTCCTTTTGAAATAGAACTTTTTCAGAGAAGCATTCCCTGACCAATATATTGCTTTTCTTTTAATTAACACTTGATAATGCTACATATTTATGGGCAACCAAGTGATGTTTTAAGGCACATACACAGTGTACACAGTGCACAATGATAAGTAATTAATATATTCATCACCCCGGCGTTTCTCATTGCTTTGTGATAACAATATTTGAAATCCTTTCTTCTAGTCTTTTTTTCTTCTTAACTTTTTTTTTCTTGTTACACATGCCAGTAGAATGTATTTTGGCATATCATACACACATGGAGTATAAAAACAAGATCCTATAGTATATAATGTATACATATACATATATACACTATACAACACACACACACACACACACACACACACACACACACACACACACACACACTATGGTCACCTTATTGTGCAACAGAAAACCAGAACCTATTCCTCCTATAGGTATCTGTAGCTTTCTCCCTTTGTCCAACCCTTCCCTATCCTCTTCTCCCCTGCCATCCCCAGCCCCTGGTTGCCACCATTCTACTCTCCACTTCTGTGAGATCAATTTTTTTTTTTAATTCCACAAATGAGTGAGATCATGTGGTATTTGTCTTTTTGTGAGTGCTTTATATCTCTTAAGAATATATCTTTAGAAATGGGGAGACACACACACATACAGACACTGTCACATGCACACACACACACACACACCATTTAATTGAGTTCCACAACATGCAAATTTTTCTTGATAGACACTGTCACTCTCAGAAGTGATGTTGCTTATTTGTTTCCTTGCCCCCCACCCCCACCCGCTCCCAGAAGGTGAGCATCTTAAGGATAGAGATATAGTTGCCATGTCTTGCTGTGTGACTGCACAAGGGTCCTCACCTGAACCCAAGAATCTGTGATAAATCTCCATAGTGACGCCATAACGTAGGGATGCGCTGCCTTTGGTTTTACAAAGCAAGAAATGGAGAATGGGAACGTTGAGTTCATTTGCTCAAGATAATGGGCTGGGAAGAGCATAGCCCATAGAGGAGCCTATACCTCTGCCCTGCCTCTCAGCTCTCCTAATAACAAGTTAAAGCTATTCTATCCTGTATCTGAAGTTACTCCATTATTCTAAAATGAAAGTTACCAGTTTAGCAGAAATCCCCTAACATGTACTGCTTCAGAAGTAACTCTTTGTTATAAGAGGCTACTTTGTTTGGCACTCTGCTGTCTACCCTCCAGTGAGCATTTGAGGTTACTTCAGCCCTGCCCACCTTATACAGCAATATCACTATCCCTCGTTTTCTGTTCTGGGTATGTGTTTTATTAAGCTTTTCCTCAGCGAAGAAGGGTATGTGATCGTTGCTGCACAAAATATTCATTTCATTTCTCTTTATTTTTTGTATTAGGTTTAAAATGTATTTTATCATGTTGCATTTTTATGTAGGCCAACTTAAATCCTCCTGGGGACAAGAAGAATATAAATACCATAAATAATTAAATGAGAATACCTGAGGGGTGTTTTGGAGATGCATTGCTCTAAGTAGCCCTAACATTTAATATAGGTAAAATAATGAGATAAAATCTGAGTTTCAGCATTAAAAAGCCAGAGGGGTAGCCATTAAAAATGATGATTCCCAAAGACTCTAAAACTGCAAAGTTGCTTACAGTATAACGTGGGTAGAAAATCTGGGTGCAAAAGTGTGTATCGGTATCGGTTAGAACAATTTGAAATATAAGACTAGAAGGAAATTATAAATGTCCTCTCTTTTGCACAAATCTGAACTACGAAAATTGGAAATGGGGTGTTGCACAAATACAATGTCTCGCTCTATAAATCCAACTTCACAACTGTTCCACTTTAACTCTTCATTATGGAGAATTTAAAGAGCATATAACACAAACAGAACCCAGCCATACACACCCACACAGGCATCATCCAACTTCAACAACCGCAAACATTCTCCATTCTTGTTCCGTCTGGCTCAACTTCCACCTACTCACACTCTTTCTGGAATGTTTATTTGTTAAATTTACATATATTTAAATTCAAAACTCTTACATGCAATCTTCTTAACAGTCCTGTAACCTTAACCTGATCCCATTATTCTAGAAAAGCCCTTGATATAAATTTCCCCCATTCCAACAGAGGAAGTTTTGAAGTTTCCCACAAGAAATTAGTTTTACATATTCTAGAACATCATTTAAATGGAATCCTAAAATATATAACTTTTTTTTTTTTTGGTGTAGCATCTTTGGATCAGCAGAAAATCCATGATATTCATTCAGATTATTCTATTAGCAATCCATTCCTCGACTTTCTGAAATAGGTCCTGTTGATTTGGAATTGGTTCCTCCTTGAAATTCTCTCATTGAACTATCTGGGCCTGAAGTTTTCTTTGTGGTGAATTGGGTAATAAGTTTAACTTTTTGGAAGACAAATGCTATTTTGTATCAGTCTTGGGAATTGTATTTTTTAAAAGATATGGGTCCATTTCAAATACATTGTTAAATTTGTTGACATCAAAATAATTATAGCAGTTTCTCTGAGGTGTTTTGGTAACTATACCATCTATAATAATAATTCCTCTTTCAACTAGGATGCTGAAAATTTATATTCACTTCCTTTTTGTCTCCATCAATTTCTGGAATCATTAACTTGTTGACCTCTTCAAAGAAGTAACTTTGAGCTTCATTGTTTTTTAATTTCATCATCATCATTATTATTATTTTAAAAGCTAATCTAATTATTTCTTTCCTTCTCCCTACTCTTAGCGTCACCCCCTCATTTGGTGGTGCTGTGAGATTGGAACCTCTTGTATGCCAGGCAAGCACTCTACCACTGAGCTGTAGCCCTTATGGGGTAACGTCTCTTAATCTTTATCTGAATTTCTAAAAGCAGAAAACTTAGATCTTTGATTTTAGACTTCTCTTTATTTTATCATAGAAGCAGTTGAAGCTACAGATTCCCATCCAGAATGACTGAGGACAGGGAGAATCAAAGCCCTTGGGTAAGCAAAGAGGAATACCATTCTAGACATCAGTGTTAAGACCCAGTTCCCATTAGTGGTGAAGCCCTCTCTTTAGAGCCAGAAGACTGGGAAAGGAAATGAATTAAAATGAGGACTTACAGATGCTGGCAGGGAGTGGGGAGGGCTCCCATCTGACATTTTCTCAGTCAGCAGGAGGAGAGATCACCAACTGAGTATGTGGGCGAGAGAGTGGGGAGGGGAGGAACAGAAAGGAATCTCTGTGAAGCAGTCACGTCAGGGTGTGGAGGAGGGGATTTCATACTGAAGGGTAACAGATGCGTCAGGCAGTGTGCCCTGCTCACATGACAATAATGGCTGTGATTTTTCAAGCAAAGCAGTGAACCTGGATCTGTGATTTTCTACCTAAAGTCGCAAAGCTCTGCTATTCATATGCAGATAATGGAGAAGACAGATAGGTGGGCTCAGCCAGGGCTGGGTTTCACCAGGGGCCAAGACCATGAGATGAGAGAGGGAGGGCTCTCTCATCTTATGGTCTTGTATTTTTATTTTTGATGACAGTTTTAAGGAAACTGTAAAATTGGGGAATGTGCATTTGGTCTTCCTTCCTAAAATCCTTGAAATTTCAAAACTGAAAAATGTATTTTTGATGCTAATAAATTGAGTGATGGCTGCCCCCCCCCATAAGTAGCTTCAGGATGGGGGTGGATCACTACAAAGACTAAGGCATGGTTAGTCATTCTTAGTTCCAACCCCCCAATCTCCAGGGAGGGGAAAAGGACTAAAGTTTAAATTGATTACTAATGGTCAATAATTTAATCAATTATGCTACATAATGAAGCTTTCATAAAAACCCAAAGGGCAGAGTTTGGAGAACCTCCAGATAGCTGAGCATGTAGAGATCCCTGGGTATGTCTTTCCCAGAGGGGACATGGAAACTATTTCTTACAAGGCTTTACACGTCTTCCATCTGCAACCTTTGTAATATCCTGTACCATAAACCAGTTATTGAAAGTAAAATATTTCCTTGAGTCCTCTCAACTGCTCTAAAATTAAGCAAGCCTGACGAGAGGGTCACAGGAACCCCTGATTTATAGCTGGTTGGTCAGAGGCACCGTTGACCCCCTGGCCTTGGGAAAGGCACTGGAAGTGGGGGTCAGTCTTGTGGGACCTGACACTATTTCTAGGTAGGTGGTATCAGAACAGAAGTGAGTTGGTATCTGCTGGAGAACTGATTATGTGCTTGAGGGTGGGAAGCAACCCCCATGCTTTTAGGGGTCACAGAAATCTGTGTTGTGTTGTAAGGGTACAGTTAAAAAAAAAGAAGAAGGAGGAGGAGGATCATTTCTTTCCTCTCACAGAAGTGATTAAACTAATCAGCTATGGATTTTTGGCTATGCAATTAGATAAGTGAGATGAAGTTTGGAAGTCTCCATGAAATCAAAGGATTGTCGCATTGGAAGAGGAAGACCTAGAAGTGGTGGTGATTGGATGGAAGCTTTAAATCGCATTTCTGAGGAAGATGTGGTTCTTGGGGATGACAAAGAGCAGGTGTGACTGTGGAAGTGAGTGGATGAGGGACAGCTGGAAACTATCTTTGGAGAAGACAAATGAAGGAACTGAGAGGCCAGGGTGCTGGTGGGTCATCAACAGAGAGGCAGGGGTAGACAGTGAGACCAAACATCTTCAGTGCATGATGCGGAGTGACTGACAGGCTGACAGATGGGAGAAAGGAGAAGGAGGAGTAGTGGTGAGCTGAGTGGCATGAGCATTCAAGAAGAAGGAGTTTTGCTAGAGGGAGAGGGTTAAATGGCCTCATGGTGACAATGGTAAATTAGAAAGATATAGGGTGTTCTTCCTGAATCTGAGGTCTTTAGGCTGTGAGAGAAAACTCAGCCTCTGTTTGAGTGGCCTTCAGAGACACAAGACCTTCGGGAGTGTTCAGGATCAGAAAGGAAGACAGAAGTGGGAGGGGTTAGATGAATAAGAGTTCCAGAGGACATAGGGACAGGGTTTAGGCAAAGAGAGGAGTGGTCTCTAAAATGGATCCAGATTTGGAAGCTTGTGTGTGTGTTTGTGTGTGTGTGTGTGTGTGTGTGTGTGTGTTTTAAGTGGGATAAGATTGAAAGAACAACAGATGTGAGAAATTAATTAAAAATTTGGTTAGGTCTACAGCTGTGAGTATCAAATACGTCCTGGAGTGTCTTCTATTAGGGAGTATGTATTAGTTTCCTATTGCCGCAGTAACAAGTTACTTCAAAGTCAGTGTCTTAGAACAGTATAAAGTTATCTTATAGTTCTGGAGGTTAGAAGTCTAAAATAGGTCTCTCAGGGATACGGTGATGGGGTCAGCAGGGCTGTGCTCCTTCTGCAGGCTGTAAAGGAGAACCTGTTTCTGGCCTTTTCAAGCTTCTAGAGACTGTATGCATTTCTTGGTTTATGTCCCCTTCCTCCGTCTTTAAAAACAACCATTTCTCTGATTCTGATTCTTCTCTCTCTCTCTTTTCCTCCTGTAAGGACTTTTGTAGTTATATTGGACCCACCCAGACAATCCAGGATAATGTGTTTATGGTGAACTGATTAGCAACCTTGACCCCCCCTTGCCATGTGACATATAACATATTCACATGTCCTAAAGATTAAGATGTGGACATCTTTGATGGACAATTATTGTGCCCACTGAAGAGTGCCCTACTTAAGATGAAAGAGTATGCACAGTCACCTAAAGGGACCATGCCAGAAAGAACAAGAGGTAACAGGGGTAGGGGAGGAGGGAGATGGTACATAAGCTAGTACTCGGTTTTTAGGGAGATAATCTCAAACTGTTCCAGAATCTTGACACCAAGGATAGAACCATTCTCTCAACAAGTGATCTCCAAACTTCACTAAGATACGAATCACCTAGAGGGGGCTTCCCCCTCTGTGGATACTAAGTTAGATTCAGTAGGTTAGGGCTAGAGGCTGAGAGTTACCTGTCTAACCAACACCTAGGGGATGCTAATGCTGCCCAGTCTAGGATTCACACTCTGACAACCATTATCCTCATGTGTTCTTGCTTCTAAAATGCTGTGACTCAGATTGTTTGTGTTTTGATTATTGTATTTTTATTTTTATTTCAGAGCATGGACTTTGGAGCCCATGGATCCCAGTTATGTCACTAATTGACTGTGCCTCCTTTCTATAGATTAGTCCCTACCTCTGTAAAAGGGGCAGACTAAGAGTACTCTTTGGATGGTAAAAGTTAGAATTAAATGTGTAAATAATGGAAAGTATTTACTAATGTCACAAAAAGGGTTAGCTCTTACTTAACCACTTTATCATCCAAGAAAAGATGAAGAACTCGAGGTCTTGGAAACACAGGATGGGTTATGCAGGGGATGGAAGAGATAAGAAGCTATGATTAGCAACAGTGGGAAGTCACTACCACCTTAGAAACCCAGATCACAGGAGGAGATGGTTCCAGATCTCAGCAGCTCAGACCACCATGGGGCCCACCTAGGGGGAGCAGTGTAAGGGAAAAGTCAGTAAGGGCTATGGTGCACCATCCCAAAATCTGACCCAAAGATTTTAGGTATAAAAAGAGCAAAAAGGAGACTCTTCCTGCCGAGTCCCATGATCTGGTTAATTGATCTGCCTCGGCTCAGGGGGTGGTTCAGGTAATCCCCATTCATTTCCTTCTCTTGGAACGCTGAACTCGGAAACAACATTTAGAGCAGACATGGAGAGAACATCTCCTCCCACGTACAATCTGTGCCTGGGCTCAGTTCTGCACAAGGAGGCTTCATTAGTGTCTGAACAGTCGCTTGAATCCTCGTGTGGCTCTGAGCGTGTGCCGTGGGGCTTCCTGGGAGGGGCCTTCCAGCATGTGGAAGAGGGCAGAAGGTGCTCGGTGAGAGGTATCAGATGGAACAGACTCCAAGAAAATGGAAAGAGGGGGCCCCTGGATGTGTCTGGGGCTCAGGGGATTGCAGCATGCCTGTTGGCTTTTCTGAAGTGCTTCAGGAGGATCACTTCACCCTAAATGGCTTTGTTGTATTGCATGAGACAAGCGCCTCCTGGTGCCATTCTGATGAGGAACAATCATAAGCTGTGTGGTCCCTTCCAATCAGGGTGTGAATTCCCGGATGCTAGAGGCTCACGCTCAGAAACAGAGCCGCTAGGATAGAGCTTGGAGAAATGGAGATATTGGTATTGAGAATGCTGTCCTCACCTGGTCCCGGCTTCTTGGGAGCTATGGGATGGATCTGAGCATGCTGGGCCTGGAATCAAGCTACAACTGTAGGCATTAGCCAGACCAGAGGGGGTGCAGAGGGGGAGGGTGGGGGCTCATGGGGCTCGTGCACATGGAGGAGCACACGTGGGCTGTGTGCAGGCTGGGAACACCTTTCCAAAGGGAAGCTTCCTAAGGTCAAACAGGGAGATTCAGCAAGCCACATTGAAGGACAGCATCTTGAGATTAACAGATTATCAATGAAATGTCCTGTGTGGCCTGAGTCTCTTGGGATCTCTCAATTTCCAAATGGGATCTCCTCTATCCTATGACCCGCTGTGAAAGTCTTTTTCTCCGCTCCACCAATTCTGGAGTCAACATCATCCCTTAAGACAGGGAACCGAGGAATTCTTGTTCAGATTTTCCGTTTCTTTAAGTCCCACCCCCTTCACTTTTTCTTCAAACCCGGGGACCCTACCTCTGTTCCCAGAGTTTCTGGTTGTCATCCCACTCCTCCTGGGAGGGTTTGAATTTCCTGTACCTGAGCCCTGTCTCCCCTTGCTGGGTCTTGGTTCCCTGCAGCCTGACAGCCCCCATAGCCACCGGGACCTCAGAGGGCCATCTACCCTGTGTATACATACAGACCCTGGTCCTGAGGCTGAGCTCAGACTTTTAGTTAATGACTCCGGCATCTCATCCACATTCTTCACTCATCCCTCTTTGACATTGACCTCCCAGGCTGAGAGCTGCTTTATCTCTCATGCGGCTGGCTTCATGCCTGGCCTTCAGACTCATTTCCTTCTATGTTCTATCACTAAACTATCTCCTGTGTCACCAAAGACGTTTTACTTGAGATACTGACTTATGATTATTTTGCCAAGGTCTAAGGCAGCAAGTGATTTTTTTGTATCTCAGACATATAAATTCTTCCAGGAACTTAAAAAAAAAAAAAAGTGTGACAGGCATATGCTGGCAGCAAGGCTTCTACCCAGGTAG